TCACCAGTCACAGCGACAAATCTACCATTAGGCGAGTGAACAAGTTGTGTAGGGTAAACTTCCACAGAACCAAGATCTTTCTGAGTAAGAGGTAGAATATCACCATCCTTCAAATCATCGGTATGTTTGACAATGCTACTGTAGACTTCGGAGTGCTTGGCCCAAACCAACTTACCGTTCGGGTCCATCGAGATAGCAGGGTTATCTTGACCTAACTGAAGAACAACACTACCAGAGTCAAAACCAAGAGCGACAAGGTTACTACCCTTGCGGCAGCTGATACACCACGAGCGGTCTAAACCATAATTGAGAGTCTCTTCAAGCTTGAATGTATTTGAATTCCAGATTTTAACAGAATTATCTTCAGAGCCGGAAATAATAATGGGCAGTTCGGGATGGAAGACTGCAAAAGAGACATTACTAGTATGGCCTTCAATAGTCGCAACGTTACCCTTCATCTGGTAATCCCACACTCTAATGGTCTTGTCATCGGAGGAAGTGATCAGATAAGGCTTGTCAGCGTGGGGATAGTATTCGACAAAATTTACGCCGCTTGTTTCATGAGCGAGGAAGGTGAGGTTGGGGGTGCTAGATCCGAGAGACCAAATCTTGACCGAACCGTCCAGACATGCAGAAGCAAATGTGTTAGGATCCTTGGGGTTGAAAGCCAAGTACATGACGTAGTGATTGTGTCCTTCAAAACTGCGAACTTGTCTCCAGCCTTGCTCCCAGTTCCACATTTTGATGGAAGCATCGTCGGCACCAGAAATAACAAGAGGCTGAGTAGGGTGAACAGCCAGAGCTCTAATATAATCAGGGTGAGCTTCAAATTGGGCGACCTTTTCAGATGTGTTGTAATTAAAAACTCTGATTTGATAGTCATCACTTCCGACAACGATCCAGTTCTTACGAGCAATAAATCGACCAGCTCTGACAGGAACCTCACTGACTTCAATAGTGCGAATAACAGCCTAAAAACCAACGTCAGAATAAAAAAAAAAAAAATTGACTTCTCTTGATTGTGGATACATACCTTAGTCTCATATGAGACAATCTGAACACGACCTAGATGAAGAGTTAGGTAAACTGAAAGTGTGAAAATGAAGGCATCAGCATACCGCTAAATAAAGTGATCAGAACCTAAATGATTGAAATATTAGAATTCATGAAACTTAGGTTAAAAAAAATTTCTGGTAGATAAAATTGAAAAAAAAAAAAAAAAATTGTTTCAAAATAGCCGACATACCCATGGTTCAGTAGGATGGAAATCAATTCCTTTAACTCTTTCAGTTCTCAGCTGAAGCTGTTTCTTAATATCGAACTTCATTGTTGAACAATTCTGGCGACAAAAACTTAGAATTATATATATCAGAACAACAGTGTGTCAATGGTAAATATATATGTAACCGTGATGTCTTAAAAGAACAATGACAAATAAAAATAATTAAACAATAATAAAAGAAGACACCAGAAATCGTAGTAATTGAAGGAAGGGAGGGAAAGGGAGGATTTAATTTTCGGTGATGTGTAAAAGAGAAGTAAAAGTGAAGGAAACAAAACCACACTGTGGGTTAGGGGTGTTTCTGAAAAATGCTTCGGTGTCCAAAAGTTCATGTCACGTGAATTAGTTTATTGTATTCATATTATCAATCAGGCACAAGATGTATTTGGGTATAAATTGATGATTTTAAACATTTTTACCTAGAAAAACACTCATTTCCATATCAGAAAAGAAAGAAAAGAGAAAATCAATTACAATAGCAGTTAAATCACAAGCGATATATATAGAAATAAAAGCTTTCGTTTACGCATATATTTCATTTTCTGATATGCCCTATGTATTTCTGAATGTTTTAAGCATTAAGAAATAAAACTTATAGTTCTAACCCTAAACCTTCGAAACTTTTTTTTTATTTAACCCTCAGTTTTCAAATCACAAAAAAGAAACAATACTAACAGTGAACGATCAAGTCAATATCATCGGACCAGCTCTAAAGACAGTTGATATAAATATAATAAAATGGAACAGCTCAATGAGTTAGAACAAAAGGAGTTCCAGCAACTTGTGGAGCGCAAGCAAATGAATGATTTCATGCATGTAAGTTTTAGCAGCTCGTACTTTTGGCGATCAACAAGAACTCCTTTCTTTTTTTAACACCATTTACGCAGCTATACTCCAACCTGGTGCAAAGATGCTTTTCTGACTGTGTCAGCAATTTCACTTCGAAAACACTTACTTCTAGAGAGGAGGCTTGCCTTATTAGATGTTCGCAGAAATTTCTCAAGCACAGTGAACATGTGGGCAAGAGGTTTCAAGAACAGAATGCCGCTTTGATCCAGAGACAAAACGAGGAAAATGCTTCTTTATAACGATGTTTTCTGTATTTTGTTTCTTTTTCATTTATTATTGTTTTTTGTAAATATTGAATTGTTGATTTTTCTTTTTTTTTTTTTCTTGTAAGTCAATACGATCGCTGAGTCTTAGGCAACCTTGAAACCTGTCAAGTTAAAGACCTGTATGGTTTAGAAATTGTATATAAATATGGGGCGTTTCACTTTAGCAAATGTAGAAAGAATTATGGAAATTTTATTACTCTCTACTGGCCTTATAATCTCGTTGGGCAATCCTGCTCCGCCAACGGGTCTTTTTCTCCCAGAAAATGAACGTGACAAAACCGAAGGACTCTTGGTACTCAATCAGATGAGAAAAAAAAATTCATTAATTTGATATTTTTGTGTTGTTGAAAATTTATTGGATTTCAGACGCGCCTATTATGTAATATTTATCATGTTGTACTGATTTATTTTTTATCTTCTTTTTTGAGCGTTACTTTTTATTTTTAGATTCCACAGTTTATATACTCTCTGTGCTTCACAATCACAAAATGTCGACTCATTTTCCATTTAGAACAGAAATACTGAATCATATTAATAGATCTCGAGAAATTAACGCTTCTTCTTTGGCACATAATTTTCTTTCAGACGGTCTAGATCTGTTACAGGAAGCTTCCGCTACGTCTGCATCCCTCAAACCCCTTCAAGATCCAGAAGAGTCTGATGCTGATTTTCAAGAACGATTAGATCGGTTCAGTGCTATTTCGAACGGCTATATTGATTCATATGATAAGATCTTTCGTGAAATGCTTGATATTATAAGTCAACATGACGATTTGCTGGAGTCTTTTAAACAAGCATTAAAGTCGGAAAAGTTAGAATCAAAACACACATTTATTGCAGAGGTTAACGAAGAAAATTTCGAGAAGTTTTTTATTCGAGATTTTTCAGATCAAGTCGAAAAAAAGTACAAGACTTTAATAAAGAAACATGAAAAGTTATCTCAAAAGGAAAAATATGGAAAAAATAAGGCCTATGTCCAATTCAGAGAACTAATTTGGAATGCCCAGGATATTCATAGTGAAGATTTGTTTAATATAAATAAATTCTTTACCGATCAAAACTCAGATGATGAAGATTTTGTCGAAGAGCAAGTTAGAGAATCTTTCAAATGCCCTCTCACAAAGCAGTTTTTTGAAATACCTCTTACTTCACTGGTGTGTCATCACTCGTTTTCTAAAGATGCCATTGTTGAAGTTATAAAAAACAATAATGGTCGAGCTAAATGCCCTATTCCTGCATGTGCTCACTTTATTCGAACAAGCGATTTGTTCCCTGATCCTGAATTGCAAGAAAAAACCACTCGGGCAATTGAAAGAGAATTTCGCGAAACACAGGCCCAGAATGCTACACTTGATAGACTCTGATTCAACTGCAACCCTACCGGACATATATTGCTGGTATAAAAAGACTAAGGTATTTTTACGTTATTTATTCTGATGATAATGACGACTATAATAATATTATTAATGATAATGATTACTGAAGAATAAGTGATTAATTTGTAGTACACGCATAACAAGAATTATTTTTTATTTCAATAGTTTTGTTTATATCTTTTATGAGCACAATATGACTAAATAATGTCTGATTATTTTTTTGACATTTCGACTAATTGATTCTTTTTTGTTAAGTCTTTAGAACCTTTCACTTTGTTTGAAAAATCATTTCGGATTTATCAGCTCCCACTATGATGCAATCCTAAAGCACTTGTGGAATGAATTTCGACGGTTTTTAAAAGATCATTCCGTTGCTGACTTGTATAGTATATGCATATGAATGGGTTTGACAATATCATTGATGACATACTACCAAAATTGTAATTATTATTATCTTATTTATTTAGGTGTCTATTGTAATTACATACTGAGAAGACACCAGACTTACCTGGGTCTGGGTCAATTTGTGTTGAAGGTTCAAAAGTGTCACCAACTTCAGATGATGTACCATTGGAAATTATCACCTACTTCATATCAGAGGCTTAAGTTTTGTCCTCATATCGTATTTACATGTTTTAATGTTGCATCTTGATAAAACTTTCAATGTAACAACTGGTAGAATAACTGGGCATTCTAAGTCTATAAGTATCTCTTTATTTCTGTATTTTTATAACTTTTTAATTTTAATTCTATAACGCAAATATCTTTAATATATCTTATTTTTTGATCATCTTTTCACTTCATCCATCTACAATGTCTGATTCAATCTTCTCCATTCAACAATTTGTAACGCGCCTATGGGTATAGGCGCGGAAATTCGGGAAGGCCAGAATTTTCTCATGAGCCGCAAGGCCTTCTCGTTTAGGCGTTGAGGAGGTCCGGTAAGCTGGTCTCAAGCGGGCTAGGAAAACCTGCAATGCATCTGATGCGGCATTCTGTATCCTTCAGTCCTAGTACAGTAAAACCTAACCCGGGCTGCCGATAAGTTGAGCAGACTTCCCTGAATTGGAGCAGGCTCTAGCCTAGCAGTGAGGTCATGTGATTATATTAGAATGATAGTTTGCATTGCAAAGGATTGCCCTGACTGAGACTCGAACCCGCGACCTCAGCCGATCTTATCACTCCCTCAACCAACTCGACCACACAGCCCCAATTTTTGAACCAAAAAGCTTGCACCCGGGGTCGAACCGGGGACCTCAAGATTTGCAATCTCGCGCTCTACCACTGAGCTATACAAGCACAATTGACTATTAAAAAAAAGCTTTTTTCTATGATCAAAGAAAATATGTTAAAAAGGTTGAAAATAAAATAAAAACCTTTGAATTAAATAGATGTGCAATACATGAATTTTTAAAAAAGAATTGCTATTACAGAACAATGAGTTTAAAAGAAAGCAAAAAGCCACGTTGAAATTGGATAAAGTACCTGACTGATACTGAGATAAGTAGCAAACGGAAGGCATTGATGATGATAAGTACTGGAGTAAGAGCCCACATTAGAAACATCCAAAATATGATTGAGACAAAAAAGCTCGTACAGCATTGCAGAAGATGACACTATGGGCTGTACATCACGATCTGAGTGGCAGAAAGACTATCAGAAGTTGGATGAACTTTGACAATACTACTCTTGTACTCAACGAGAGTTGTATAACAGTAAGTATTCCAACCCCCTGGAACCATTCATGAGGACTGTGCCTTGCCATATTCTTAACAAGATGTTCCAGCTGCAAACATGTCATGGTGCTCTTGGAAAGTATTTTCAAATTACACGTATTACTGAGAGA